GGAGGGAGGGAGGGAGGGAGGGAGGGAGGAGGGAGGAGGGAGGAAGGAGGGAGGGAGGCAGACCAGGAGGCTGTGAGCTTGGAAGTGAACAGGAGAGTCCAGGGAGGAAGCCCCCAGAAGATGGAGTTTGGAGAGCTTCTGTCTTCAGGAGGCTTCCACTGAGAGTTCCTGGTGGGGCCAGAAGAGAGAGGCTATCAGGTGATGTGCACGCAGTGTGTGTCCTGCTGGGCTGGGGTAACTGAGCGGGAGTACCTTGCATAGGAGCCAGGGGGCACCTGCTCAGCACAGGCTTGTGCACCCTGGTCAGTGTGAGTCTAAGTCATTGTCTACTCGTGTGTGTGTGTGTGTGTGTGTGTGTGTGTGTGTGTGTGTGTGTGTATTCCTTCTGCCGTGGGAAGGAGGTATTAGTTTTCTAAGACAGCTGTAAGGGCACATAGTCTTGGTGTCTTAAAGCAACAGAAATGTATTATGTCAACTAAAATGAGTGATAGGGAGACCAACTTTCCAAAGCAGAGGCTTTATTTGGAAATAGCAGGGGATTGCCATCTGGGATATGTGTGCTATGATGGGTCACAGGCGCATCACAGGTCCAAGGGGACTGGGGCCGGGAGGAAGCTTTTAAAGACAAAAAGGAGAAATGGTGTAAGCAGTTTTGAAACAAAGACCATGGGTTACAGGATCTTGTAGAAGTTGGCGTAAGCTCCTTGGTGAAGATACCCATTATGCAAGTGGCTTATCTGGAACGCTGCGGCTCTGAGCAACTCCTTGCATAGTTCCCATCATAGACATATATGCATGAGGGTCCCTTCTTCATGGCCCCTGGCCCCATTTTCTTAAGGTTTGATGTTAATGATTACATTTCCATTCTAACAGCTTTCACAATTGGCTCACGGTTCTGGAGGACAGAAGTCTGAGATTAAGCTGTGGCAAGGTCGGTTCCCTCTGCAGGCTCTGAGGGGACCATGCCTCTGTTCCTAGCCTCTGGGCTGCTGCAATACTTGCTGTACCTTGGCTTGAAGACACCTCACTCCAATCTCTGCTGCCATCACCACATAGCATTTTCCCTCTGTGTGTCTGTGGCTAAATTTCCCTCCTGCTAGAAGAGCATCAGTTACTGCATTTAGGGACCACTGCAATCCAGTATGACCTCATCTTAACTGGATTACATCTCAAAGACCCTATTTCCAAATAAGGTCACATTCCCAGGTACCAAAGGTTAGGACTTGGCATCTTTTGGGAGAACACAGTCGTACCTGCTAGTGGCGGAGTTGACAGACGGCGGTCTGTAAGGCTGGGGTAATGAACCTGCACACAAGCCCCTCAGCAGACAGCTCCTTCATGCTCTTGCTGTTCCTTCTCTTGCAAAGGGAGGTGGTGGATCCAGGGTGAAGACAGGGGCCCCATCCCACTGTCTCATCTGGGTGAAGTCCTCGGGCAGCAGGGAGAGGAGGACTTGAGGCATAAGGAGTGAATGTGCAGGTGACTTTGGGAGCTGGGCGTCCATGTCTTACTAACTAGTTGGGCGACCTTGGACAAGTTACAGCTTCCCTTAGTGCCACTGTGTCCTCATATGTACCAATGATACCCACCCCACAGAGTTGTCAGAATTGCGAGGCCCTGGAACAATCCTGATACATAGCAGGCACCGTCCAAAGCATGGCCGTTCTCAGTGTTTTCCACGAGCCTTGCCTTTTCCATCAGGAGTGCATGGAAACCCACTTAGGAATGCCACGCCCGGGTGGTGCCCATTTCTGTGGACAGCAGTGATCCCAGCACCGAGATGGGCATGACTTTATGTGGGCATGGCCCTGGTGGAGGAGTCTGCCCCAGAGATCTGGTGGGGGCGAGGACATGAGTGGGACATCTTCAAGCAGGAAGCAGGGCACTCCTGCCCAGGCAGGCAAACACACACCTGCACCCCACTCCAGCTCACCGAGTGCGCTCACCCCTGAGACTCAGCAGCTGAAGTGTGTGGAGGGAGCCAGCGACCAGACTGAAAGCACACACACACACACACACACACACACACGTGCATACATAAAACTCACAGATACAGATGCTTGCACCCTTTGCAAAAACACACACACCTCACAGACACACATACCTTATAGACACACACCTTACACAGCTCACAGACACACACATAGTTCACAGACACACAGACCTCATAGACACTATATAGACCCACATCTCACACATACGTCACACACACAGCTCACAGACACACACCTCACACACACACATTTCACACACACAGACACATGCACACCTCACAGACATTCCGCCACACATAGACACAGACGTAGACTTCAGCCACATGAGAACCCAGCTCCAGCCCCATGGGTCCCAAAAGTCCACACAGCACAGCAAAGCTCGAGCGTATTTGCTCATGCTCAAGACTTTCCCGAACACCTGCTCTGGGCTAGGCACTGTTGGAGGAATGCCAGGGGACGACTATAAAGATTTCATTTCATCGGGGGACAGACGTAAGAAAAACGAATAAGCAAATTACATTGTACATTAGAGGGCACTTAGTGCTGTGGAGAAAAATGAAGGAGGAAAAGGGAACGTGAGGAGGCTGTCATTTAAAATGCATCCTTCACGCCTTCCCAGGGTCCCCTCTTCCCACACCCCAAGGCCAAGATGTGAGCTGAAAGCCCGCAGGCCCCAGTCTAAGCCACTCTCTTCTGAGTGGGACGGGCTGGGGACGGCGGCTGGAGTTGGACATTTGCCTAGTGCCTGCTGGACTGGCTCCTGCAGCTTCTGTCAGGGTCCCCAGCAGCTGGCATCCCCTCAGCGGGGTGGGCAGGCACCCCCCCAGAGGTCTGTTGCTCTCTAACTAGTGTGTCACCCTCCTCGTTACTATTCTCATCCTCATTACAGGGAAATGTCCTTGCACTCAAGCACAACCACCACACAGCGCCGTTCCACAACTCCACGGGGAGACGGCATTTTTCTGGAGCTGCCGGTGAGAACAGTCAGAGAAGCCTGGGGAGGAAGAGTTGATGCCTTCTGGAGTTTCGGTGGGGGTGGGGGTGCAGCCCTTTCCGGGTGTCAACTTTTTCTCTCGTCTCTTTCCCCATCTCCTGTTTTCATCCTTACCAATGAGAATTCAGCTAATTCTTTACTCCGGGCTTGTGCCTGTCACCGACTAACCCAGGAGGCCCCTCAGGGCTGAGCCCTGCCCTTTGCCTCATTCTTTGTAACGGGATGCCTGCCACACACAGTAGGTGCTTCATAACTGCTACTGGAATGGGTAAGTAGGATAAATACATGCAGTTTGGTAGTGCAAGGCTAGGCATGGTGGCTCACACCTGTAATCCTAGCACTTTGGGAGGCCAAGGTGGGGGGATCACCTGAGGTCAGGAGTTCGAGACTAGCCTGCTCAACATGGCAAAACCCTGTCTCTACTAAAAATACAAAAGTTAGCAGGCATGTCGGCGGGCGCGTGTAATCCCAGCTACTTAGGAGGCTGAGACGGGAGAATTGCTTGAACCTGGGAGGTGGAGGTTGCAGTGAGCACAGAAAGAGCCACTGCACTCCAGCCTGGGCAACAAGAGGGAAACTCCGTCTCGAAAAAAATAAAAATAAAAGAGTTTGGTAGTGCAGAAGTATGGCCTATTACCTGAGGCCCTTGCATGGGGCAGTAGGACCCAGGAAGGGTGAGAGAGAGGCAGGAGCTTCTCCATCCCTCCCTCAACCAGCTGGGCTCATCCAGAATCAGTCTTTGGAGTTCCACCATTATAGAGTCTCTCCTTTGTGCTAATGATGGCTTCTTCCTCTCGGGGCTCTCATTTAAGAGACAAATGTACTCCATAATGTATTTGCTCACCAGTTGTGTGGTGTTGAAATGACCTGAGGCAAGTCCTTGAACTCTCCTGGGCCTCAGTGGCCTGGTCTGTCTAGTGGGGACATGACTCAGACCTACCCCAAGGTTGCTGCCTTGGTTCCATACTTTTCCATGTATGATCTCCCTCTGCAGAGCTGCGTCCCCAACCCTATGGGCTGCTTGGTGAACGGTGGATCATGTCAATCTGTGAGGCAGGCAAGCGTGTTCCTCTGACAGGACGTGTCACTGAGGTGGAATCAGAGGAAGGAATATTTGCTTGATTGATCCTTTTCTCCAGGGCAGGCTGACCTTGGCTTTGCAGAAGGGACTGGGGTAGGTAGGCGTGGGTCTGGAAGACAGGAGGGAGGAGAGCTGGGGACTTAGAACCTCAGGCGGCTGGCTCCTGTGAAGACAAGGCTAGGGCCAGCATCTCGGTGACTGGGAGGAAGAAGTGGGAAGGTGAGGAACGACGGGGAGGTGGGGGGTGGGGGGACTAGCAGGCTTACTTCCCGCCCCAAGCTATGAGCACAAGGGAGACAGGTAGAGAACAGAGCCCTCAGAAAGTTTCCAGCACATTCCTGCTAAAATTAGCCCCAGCTTGCATACGCAACTCTATATTTAAACCAGCGGCCTGTCAGTGTCACTGTGTTGTGCCGCCAGCACACGCCAGCGGATTTGGGGCCCGGCGCTGAAGCAGGGGTGCAGGCAGCATCCCAGGGCCTGAGCACGCGGCCCTCTGCCCACCCACGCCTGCTTGTGGAGAGGCGCCCGGGGGTGTCTGAGGGGGCGGGTGTAAGTGTTTGAGGCCTCCTGCCTCTTGTTTCCACTCCAGCAGGACAGATGGACACACACCCAGGCACAGAGGCAACCACATGCAGAGGGGACAGGGCAGACAGGTGAAAGAACACTCTGGGAGAAAAGAGGGAAGAGAAGGGAGACAGCGACAGAAAGAAGGAAGAGGGCAGAACGAATAAGCATCTGTGGAAAAGGCAGGAGGGAGTGAGACAGAGCTTCCAGACAGCTTGACACGCGGGCGGTCTGCCCTGCACTTGGGCTGTCCAGGAGATGGTGTAGGGGGGATCTCAAGGGGAGCTCAGCCTCTCAAAAGAGCCTTAGCCTTCTGATCGCCAAGCCACCCGTGCTCACACTCTCTGATGGCGAGGGGAGCCCAAGCTGCTCCCCTCCTTCTAGGGAGATCACCAGCTGATAAGAAGCCAGATTTTCCCTGAGGCCTGGAACATTAACCTCACACTGAAAAGAGGATGTTTTATTACCCAGGAATATTTCTGCATCTCTTCAGAGGGCTTGCTCAGCCCCCACCCCAGCAGCAAGCCTCTTTCGACAATTAAACCAACCCAACTCTCTCTGGTTAACCCTAATGAACTAGCCCAGGGTAGGTTCCAAAGAAGGGATTGTGTACGTGGACAAGTGTCTGCTTTATCCTGTGCGGCTGACCTATCTCCGTTGCCTACCATTGTGAGTGTGTTTGTGTGTATTCGTGTGTGTGTGTGTGTGTGTGTGTGTGTGTGTGTGTGTGCTGCCGTGTGCAGGTGCACATGATGCGGACAGGTGGGGCCATCCCCAGGCCCTCCCACCAGGCCCTTCCTGCCACTCTATTTCCTTTTGTTGCAGACCTGCAGGGAGCCTTAGAGAGCAGTCAGTCTCTAATGAGATGACAGATGGGACAACTGAGTCTCAGAGAAGGAGTGTGACTGGCCCAGGATCATGCAGGGAGTTCACAACTGATCTGGGCCTGAATCCCTGGTTCTGTACTTTCCCACGAGTGATCCCCCTTCTGCAGAGCTAAGTCCTTGTCCTCCTTAGTGTGTGCCTAGCTTGGGCACCCCTTCTCTTTGAGACTCAGTTCTAACTTCCCGGCAGGGTGAACAATTGTCCTGCTTTTCCTGTGACTGCCCTGGTTTTAGTATCGAAAGTCTGAAGCTCAGCATGGGAAGCTGGAATGGTTGGCTATCCTATTTCCAGGTCAGAAAGATGACTCCTCTTCATGGGCTCCCAGACACATCCAATGATAAGGCCTGACATTTACTGACCCCCACTATAGGTTAAGCACTGTTGTTTGAGCCCTTTACACACACCCGCTTATTTAATTCTCTTAATAACGCTTTGAGGTGGATACTGTTGCCCCATTTTACAGATGATAAAAGTAAGAAAGAAAGAAGATACCACGCCTAGCTGGGAAGGGGAAAGGCAGGACTTGAACCTGAGTATTCAGGTCTCAGGGGCGCACTCTTACCTACTAGGCTACCCACTCTTCTCTTGGGAAATGCCTGTTGTGGTTAGTATATAAGGCTGTCTCGCGCCACCAAACGCAGTAGAGCAAAGTCCCGTGTGTCCTTAACCTCAGCGCCTGGCACAGTACCAGGTGTATGATAAACACTAAGCATAATTTTGTTGACTGAGTCCATGCCTGGCCTGCCCTCCACTCGGCTGGCACTCATTCCTTTCCCTTATCCCATACCCTGGGCCTCTCATCTGCAGGGCCCCCTCCAAGCCATCTTCCTCGCTCCTGTTTGGCATCCTCTCGGCTCCTTAGCCCTATATTCCAGTGTCTTGAAAGAAACTGCTTTCTTGTGAGCCAACAAAGTTCAGAAGAAACCCATGCACATGTTCTGAGAGGTTCCAGACTGAGTCTTTGGCCTGAG